TTTTTTTTTTTTGGGTGACGCTGTTTGAAAGGTTTCCCAGGTGTGAAATTGTTTAACACCGGAGGTTGAGCTTGTTTGATTTTGGGCTAGAAACCAAAAAGGGTAGCAAACAAGTTTGTTGCCTAAGTCTTTCGTTTTGCAAGCCTGCGAGCCAGGCCAGCGGACATTGATTAATTGTCGCCGCAGGAATGCACAAAATTGTGCGGCAAAAGACACTCGTGTACGTGGCAGTGGCACTTGCAACAGCTGCAGCAACAGCAACAGCATCGATACTTTTCAATGAACACATCAACAAATGAGCAAGTGGCGCTGCACAATTTATTGGCATTGACGACGTCCAATGGCGTCCAATTAACACAGGATGCTCGAAGCGCCAGCCCGCCAGCCAACTGTCCACCCGTCCACCCGTCCAGCCGTCCATCCAGCCACCAGCGACGTTTCTTTCTTGCTTGAAAGATGCCGCCCCAGAGCCAGCTTCAAGCTGTGCTCCGAGTGCAATGAAGTCGTAAACTCTGATTTATTTCGAATTGTATGTCAATACAGAGAGTGAGTGAGTGAGTGAGCGAGAGAGCGCGAGTGTGGGGAGAGTGAATGAGACGGAGAGCCACAACAACTGGCAGCAGCAACAGCTCCACTGCCTCGCTTCCTTTGGCAGCCTCGGCTAATGCTTCACCACAGGCGGTCCCCATGGCCCGCTGTAGCCTGACCCAATTTGGCGCCTGCTGCGGCGCTTTCATCAGCGACTCCTCGTACATCATAAACAAATTCATAAAAAAGTTCGCCCTACAGCTTCCCAAGCCATCGAGGAGATGCATGCATAAAATTTATGGCGTTGAAAGGCGCATCGAATGGATTTTTAGTTTTCTTCTGTTAGTTCTTCTGTGTGTTCAGTTGGTTGTTAGCTTCTAGTTGTTGTTGTTGTTATTGTTACTGTTGTTATTGCTGTGAGGTCAGCCTGTAGTTTGTTGTTTTTTTTCCTCCTTCTTTTTGCTACTAGAGCGCACTCATTAAAATGTAATTTGAGCGCGTTGTTTCGCATTTCATTTGGTCAAGTGAGCAGGCAACAACAACAACGTCGTCGTCGTCGTCGTCAGTTTCCATTTCACTTCATTGAGCTTGCATCAACCCCCAAAATAATAAAGTGAGACATGCTCCTGCTCGCTCTAGCTGCTGTGGATTTGATTGATTTATAGACGCTAGCCATCTCTCTCGCGCTCTCTCAGCTCTCGAGCTCTCTTGCCTGCGTGCCTTCAGCTCCTTTCAGTATGTGTGTGCATGCGTGTGTGTGTGTCCCTCTCGTCATTTGTGGCACATTATTATTTAAATGATAAATTGTATTGCCCGTCAACTTTGGCTTAAAGAGAGCGGGCCAAAGGCAGCGACCGGCACTGAAGGACGGCGAGCGAGAGGGCAAGTGGGGTCGCTCATTGCTTTTCATTTGCTTTTATTGCTCGCTTTTCGTAGGTGTTTCCTTGTTGCCTGCGTTTCTTCTACTTCTACATTCATTTTTTTTTTGTTCTTTTGGTACGCCTTCGCCGTGACCTCTTCTCAATATTGTGAAGAACCCTTGACGTTTTGCGCTTTCTAGCTGACCCCTTCTCCCGTCCTGTGGGCGTTTTGCTGTGCATTTCAAATTTTCCGTTGATTTTGGGGTCGTTTGTGTTTCGTCTTCTTCTTTTTTTCTTCTTGTTGGTCTTTAGCTTACCTTCTTTTTGGCCTAGGCCCAACAAAATTAATCGTCTCATTTGTCCAACATTGCATTGCATTGACGGCACTCGGCTTTCATTTCTGGCCACTAATGTTATTTGGTAATAAAATCGATTAGGCTTCCGTATTCGAATGCTACGTTTATTTAGTGGGTGATTTGTTCTGTTTTTTTTTTGTGTGTTATTTTTTCCTGATTTAGTTACTGGGGCGTCTACATTAAGTGAGACATCAATGAGAAAAGTGCAGAGCTTGTTCATTTATTTACTTATTTAATTGATTAAGTAGAGCACAAGGCTAGAGCTCGTATTAGGGAATGGCTTTAATATTGTGTATACAGAAGATTTGCTTGCTTAATAATATTTATGTAAGATATACATACATATTTTTTGTGCTTGTAAAAATTCGTAGCTAAATATACTTTTTCTATGATTTAAATATTTTCTACATTATAATATTTAATTATAATATTTATGTGATATAATTTTATCGATATCAACTTCGAAAAAGTTTAGAAAAATGTTAACATAAACTGATACATATTTACTTATATACAATACATACATATTGAACCAGGCAACTCTTCTAAATTCGTCAGAAAACAATTCAATTATTATAATCAAAATAATATTAATATTTTAGCTCTATATGTATATTCAAACTCAACTCTATTAATATGTCTGCACTTCATAACCAGACAGTTTGGTTCGACTTCTCTGAATCATTAAGCCGATCAAGTTATTAATTAGCCTATGGCAGCTACTAATAAAACATGAAATATTTGATATAAACTTTTAGACAAGTTAATTTAATGGCCATTTGTTGTAAAATTGACTTGCTAACGCGTTGATTTGACATATTTGCACTGCACGTGTTTTGCAATACGATTTAGGTGCAATTATTTGGAAGAGACAGCAAACACACAGACACACACGCACACAAATACACACACACACATACACACATCGCTCAGATTGTAGTGGGAAAGTAAGCAGTGGCCAGAGCCAATCATAATTTGCATTTAATAAATATTTCATTAACTAATTGCAACAATTACGTGCATTTTACTTTACTGCCCTCAAATTAGTGCAGTCCGAAGCGGTTTGTGTTAGGGATTACGGTTTTAATCGGATCAGCCAATCGTATTGAGCCGATGCACGTTTCTTGTCTCTAACAATAAGACTGCGCTTTACTTGGCCCGGCTAATTGCCTAGCCTTATGAATATGTAACAGCAATAGCAACGGCAACGGCAACGGCAGAAACTACAACAAAAAAACCCAGTCAAAGCGGAAATCCTCCTACGGGGCGCACAGGTGACAACTTCTGTGCGGGCGTGTGGAGGGGCGCAAGCCGTATAGCTCACAGCTTGCGCGGCTCTGTTAAAGGTTCTGCTTGTCTTCAAAAAGTGACCCGGCATCGGGCGCCGTCTTGTGAATGAAAACGGCTCGGCTTGTCGCGCTGAATGCTGTAGAGCGCGCGCTGCAAAGCGACAGCGACGTGTCGCCATTTTGAATTTGTTGCTCAGCAGTGGGCGGCGTCAGAGCGATAGCAAGAGAGCGAGAGAGCGCAGACGCAGGCGCTCTCTGCATACATCTACGCTGACTTGTGTATGTGTGTGTGCTGCGCTGGGGGCGTGTATAGCACAGCACATGTGTATTGGTGACTGAGCGAGCGTACATGTGTGCATATCTGTGTGTGTGTGAGTCTGTGCTTGTATTGTATTTTAGTACCTGTGCCGTTGGAGCGACGTCAAGTTGTGGGCCAGTTTGACTGGTTTGTTGCCTTTTGTTGTTGCTGTCGCCTGTCAAGTTGCTCAGTTTGGGCAAGTAGATGGCGCTAGTTGTCTTCAAGTGGCTTTAATATTAAAGTCAAGCCCTAAAAACTTTAGTTGTTCCAAACTATTTCGATGTCTTAACAAAGACATAAAATTATATAAAATCTAAATCAATTTTTATAGTTTCAGAAATTTCCAACACATTGATAACAAATGATTTGTACATTTACATGTTTTAATTATATAAACAAATGCCTTTGGTTCAGGGTATTCATCCAAATGCAACTGTTGATTGCGTGTCGCTGAAAAATAGCAAAATAAAACCAAAATTACAGGTTCAACAATCAATTTAATAATTGAAGCYTTTGCATTTAATCAACATTATTTAAAATGTCAAAATATTTGCACTTTCAATGGCAGCGAGCGTCGCCGTCGCCGTTACCGTCGTCGTCCAAAAACCGTAAAGCCCAAAGAATGCCAGCTCGAAAAAATATAAAACAAAAATTTGCATACAAATATAAATGTTGATAATGTTGTAAATCCCCCAAAGAGGGCCGCTGCTGCTGCTATTGCTGCTGCTAGCCACGCCTCAAGTGGGTGGCTGGAAGGGGGCGCCATAAAACTAGACGAGTGCCAACTACAAAGTTGATATAACATACAACAACAACAGCGAAAAGAAAAGAAAAGAGAACACMGAAACACAACCGCACAATCCGCTTGGGGGCGCCCCTCGTCTGCGCCGTCTCCATTGATAAAATTTATGGTATTGGTGTGGTTTCAACACCAACCGCTGCCGCGACAGCTCACACCGATRCACACACACACGCCAAGCGGCGGCAGCGACGCGACGTCAAACCGGTTGTCTGCCCTGCCATTGGTTTCGGTTTGGCAGCGCAGGCAAACAACAGTTGCCGTCTTGCTCGCACTCGCGCGCTATCATGCACAGCCGTTGCGCTCGCACGCTACAGCGACAACGCCGCAAAGCGACATCTGCCGGTTTTTGCGGCACTAACGACAGCGCAGTCGGGCAGCGCGCAATCGCAGCGCTGAGCTCGTACCTAGTCGTATACGCACTTTGTTCGTGGTTGGTTCGTTGTTGCTGTCGCTCGTCGCAGCGCCGTTCGCCCGGTTCGTTTCGAGCTCTCGATTCACACGATTTTACGTTTTACGCTAGATTCCAAGCGCTGCTACGGCTGGAGATTCTCTCTACTGGGATTCTAAATAATAAAAATATTTACATACCTACATATTACATATATCTATATGCACATATATCGCGTTATCGTTCGCGTTGCCGTCGCGCAAATTGCAAATTGCAAATTGAGAAAATAAAAATTACATAGATTGTTGTTCAGTGTGTCGCTCTTTTGGCTTGGAGTGTGTGCATTTTATTCCTGAATGCCAATTAAATGCGCGCAGCAGCAGCAACAACAACAACAACAAAGAGAAATAAGATAAATAAATAAAATAAATAAAAGGCATTCAAATACAAATTGTTACAAGTGGTGTCAACAGCAGCTACAACAGCAACAGAGCAGCAGCAACAGCAACATCATCATCAATAACAACAACAACTACTACATCATTATTATTAAAAGGGTGACCCAAATCTGCGAGTGCAACAATTCTCGAGTGCAAAAATAAAAGTATAAAATTTGAGAGCTAGAGAAAGAGAGAGAGAGAGAGAGAGATAAATACAAAGTGCTTACGCTACAAATGCTGTTAAGGATTTACGCGCTTAACTCAACCAACTAACTAACTAATATAAACTTGTTTAATGTGCAATTAAAACTAAAGTACACACATACACACACAGCTCACATACACGCTCTCCCACACACACACACACACACGTAGAGACAGCCGTAATTTGTTGTCTTTAGCATTTTGATTTTTTTTCGCGGGCGCACGTGTCAAAAAGTAAAGCCGCCAAAATTCTTGATAAAGTGGCCTCAATAGGCGCCAACACGCTCAATTTTACGGATTTAGGGAGCCCCTACGAGGGGCCTCCCAGCACCCCACAGTCGGGCATGGATGCACCAGATGCACCGCATACGCCCAAATATATGGACGGCGGTAGCACGGCAGCCGTTAGCGCCAGCATAACACCTGGCGTTAATATACCTGGCAAATCAGCATTTGTGGAGCTGCAGCAGCATGCCGCCGCCGGGTAAGTACAATACAAACAAAGATGCAAACAACATGCCACAACATCTCCTCTTGCCTAAGCTGCATTTTCATTGTTTTGCCTATCAAATGACAAATGAAGGACAAATGCAACTGCCTGACTGATTGACTGACTGACAACTGTCTAACTGACTGACTGATTGACTGACTAACTGCACTCAGACACTGACAACTGTTCGTCCCCTGCAATGCACTAAATTCAGCTCCGTTCAGCATTTCGATTTGTCTTTTTGTTATCAGCTTCGCGTCATCAGCTCTTTATATAACACACCCAAAAAGTAAAGCCAGGCTACAAGACATTCACTAGGGCGTTACCCCACATCTTTATAAGACTTTAATTTGGCTCAATCGTATTGATTGCTGTGCTTAGCTCTAGTTTCCTGATAATATGCAAAATAATCAAGCGTAGCTAGACATGATCGTAGATAAAGTTAACTAAAGCATTTTATTATGGCCAAAGTTACTGTAGGTAAGAGATAATATATAATATTATTGACAAATATAGAAGCATTGATTTCCATATATAATATTCCTAAATGTTTTCTCCATAAAATGAATATATAATATACTTTGATATTATTATAGGATATATACAAAAAAACTTAAAATATTCTAGAAATATTTTAAGTGCTCTTCAAAAGATACAAAAATTCTTTAAAACTTGCAGTAAAATGGATTTAATAAATGAATTTATTTTTGACGGTTAAAAATAAAAGCTTCCTAGCTTATCAAGTATACAAATAGTTAGGAGCTTTTTTTTTTAATTCAATTCGCATTTATATAAGATTATACAAAAATGCAACAAATTTTAGAATTGGAAGCTCGAAGCCTATTAATTATTTTTGTATTATTCCCTTTATAATACGTTACGACCTTTTAATTGAACATAAACAAAAAATTATTTTTGAATAATTTTTTTGATAGTAAGTCATTTAATGACGCTTCCAAAACAAGCTCAGAAAATCTGAACGTAATCAAAATATGTCTGAGAATATAAACAAATATATGTATATAAATATATTTATAACAATAAAATATAAATATGCAAATATATAAAATACATAAAAAATCATTTTACATTATGCAAATTAATAACTTCTATATAAGCAGAGTTATGTAAAACAAAAATTAGTATAAAACAAAATGGAATATATTGAGTTCTGGTCTAGACTGGTTGAAAGCAAAAACAAGTTTTGTTTTGCAATATAATAAATATATAAATATAAATAAGAATTAAATATAATATACAAATATTTCAGTTACCTGCTGTAAGAATGCCGTCGTTCATAATATATATGCTCGGAAGCCTTTCCGACAGCTTTCAATCTGTAAACACAATTCGAATTATCATATTTATATATTTTATACAATTTATGGACTCTACTTAAGCTATCTATATTAATATATGGCTAATGATACGTCCATGGACAGCTGTCAATGCATTTGCCTTTTATCTGAATAACAATCTTTTGTAAATGTTGCTTTACCGCGGGCTACGAAGTGCCAAAGTTGTAGCTCAGTATCAGATTGCTGAAACAAAGATATGGCCACTATATACTTAAACATGTTCGATGTGTATTTTTATCAGTTTATGGAAAACATTTATCTATATATGGGATGAATGTATATGTCGATATATACGATGTATATACATTTATATGTACATATATCGCCCTTTTTATCAATTGAAGTGTTCTTTGCAGTTTTTGTTTCTTGATTGACGAAGTCACTTGTTGTAGTTATTGTATATATAGCGTATATATGTATATATACCCCTAGTTCCCTGTTGTATCGGTGCTATGTTTTTATGCTGGTGTCGCCCGGCTTAGGGCTTTTTGGACTCCCTTTTACAAAAGCCCAGCGGCAATGAGCGGAAGCCAAAAATAAATTCAATTAAGTGCAGTTTAGCAAACGGCGGACTTTAACTTGTATGCACACTGTACTCCATATGGGTAAAAACTTCGATTGAGGGTAAATATTATTTATGCTAGTTGCGTGGAGGGCTTCCATGACCCTCTCTCCCTCTCTCCCCCTCTCACTCTCTATCGGGCTGCTCAAATTGTTTTTGCAACGCACGATTCGATTTTTCATTATACATATTTCATTGCATTTTTGCGTTTTTGCGGTTTTGCGTTTTGTGGTTTGTCATATTTTTTTCTCTTATTTTTTTTTTTTTTTTTTGTTTTTTTTTGTTTTTTGTTTTTCATTTCTTGTGGTGCGTGTGCAACTCCAAAGTGGTTCGCTGGCTGCCATATTGTCGGAGTTCGAGCTGCGGTTTCACTCTGTCAGTTGCCAGTTGCCAGTTGTCAGTCAGTTGCATTTCGTGTTGTTGTTTCCGTTTCCGTGTTGCCTTTTGGCCCGCTTTGTATTGAATATTTCATGGCTTATTATTGGGCAATCGCTTAGAAATTGTGCCCAAAGAAGAACTCGGAAAGCCAAACTCCCTGGGAAACTGTTCAACTGTTCAACTGCTCAACGATTCGACAGCAAAACTTTAAGCTTGCCTCCGTTCGAAAAGTGTTAACAAAATATTTACTACTACTATTGATTTTCGGTCTCCCTTTAATGAAGTCAGCGCAAAAGTTTGTCATATTAAATCCCGATTTTGATTTTCAGTCTTTTTTTTCTTGTTGTTGTGAGAAATAAAGTTTCGTTTCGACGCTTTGTGCATTAAACATGATAGTTTTGCGGCTGAGGTTTCTACTATATTTGTGGGGCGCTGGAATTTAATAGTCGTTGTGCAGCACTGAAAAGTGTACACAAAACACGCAAACTTCTATCGTTATCGTTGTTGTTCTTTTCACATTCATTTGTTGTTCTTTGACCTGAACTGGCGTGCCAAAAGGCCAACAATGAATAGGATATGAGGCACTAGTTCCGATTTGATTTCATTTGATATATGTACGCACATATACATATATATATGTATATATTTCTATATTTACTATATTTCATCATTGGCCGTTCTCTTGACAGTTACGGCGGCATGCGCAGAACGTATCAGCATTTTGGTCCACAGGGCGGCCAGGATTCCGGCTTCCCGAGTCCACGCAGCGCTTTAGGCTATCCATTCCCGCCCATGCATCAGAATTCCTACTCTGGCTATCATTTAGGCAGCTATGCACCGCCCTGCGCCAGTCCTCCCAAGGATGGTAAGTACAAGCAGTACAACTACTCAAAACTAACTTATTTACATATCTCGCCCCATCTCATCTCATTCAGTTCATCTATATTCGCACAGCGCACATCACTTAAGGTTTCGTCTGCTATTGTTGTCTGAAGAGTTGTTCAGCTGGTCAGGCATTGCCTTTGGCCTCTGCTCAAGATCCAACTCAATTCAAGCTCTTTAAATTCGCACTTTTTCGCGACACTTGAGCACAAGTGGACAACGCTCTCTCAAGCGTCATCTAAACAAACTTGACTTTGACATTTCCACGCTGATCAAAAACAAACAGCAAAAACTTTATCAAGTTATTTTTGTAAACCAACAAAAAATCTTAGGTAAATTGCAGAAGCAAAACAAATTCATGTTTCAATTTGTACAAATATAGATAAGCATTAAGCATTCACAAATGCTTATCATTTTCTTAGTTTTTTTTTCACACCATTCCTTTAATCGTATTTTTTTTGTTTCTTAAATTTCCATAACAAAAACTTTATTATGACAAAGCTGGCGACACTTAATTTCATAGCCCATTAGCTTAAACTACTCTTTAAATTCTCACTTGCTTGGCTTCTTTTTATAGAGCCATAATATGGTTTTATATAGATCATTAATTCTTCAATGAACCGGTTCAGAGACGGAATTTCAATTTATATTAATTTACGGTAGTCACAAGATGTTTAAAATAATATTTAGTCCAGAGACGCAAAAAATGTTCTACAAAAATTTAAAATTTCTTAAAATGTATTTAATATAACATATAAGAGCGCATATTAAACAGAATTGTTAGAAAACAATCTGTGCGTAGAAAAAAAAAAAAAACAAAATCAATTTTTCGATTATTCTCGATAAAAAAGTTATCGGACGATTTATCGAAAAAATAAAGCAAACTCGTACTGCGTATGGTACACACGAGTATGCATGCCAAATTTCAGCTCTCTAGCTCTTATAACTTCTGAGATCGACGCACTCATACGGACGGACGGACGGACGGACGGACGGACGGACGGACGGACGGACGGACGGACAGACGGACAGGGCTATATCAACTCAGCTCGTCGCGCTGATCAAGAATATATATACTTTGTGGGGTCTGCCACGCCTCCTTCTGCCCGTTACATACTTTTTCACAAAACCATTATACCCTGATTTCCCATTTTCAATGGGTTCAGGGTATAAAAAGTAGAAAAAAAAAAAAGAATAGAAATTGATGTCCTTTCTTCTAAGTTACATAAAAACTTTATAAAAGTTTTTTTTTATTTTTCTACCACTAGAGTGATATTATATACAGTGAAAGCATGGGAGAGTATATAAAGGACAGTTGTTGGATAGACTTCAAGTATAGCGCGTCTTTCCTATAGTAAAATATTTATATGAATAAAATTGAAATTGCTAAAAGTATTTTAAATATATGCAAAATTTAAAGTACATGCAAATGTGCAATAAAATATATTTAAAGTAATATTCAAATTTTCAGTATTTTCTATTTAGCTTTAAAGAATTTTTGAAATATTGTTTTAGCTGCTACTCTTTTCTAAGCAATTTGTTTATTTTATTTTATTTATTTTTTTTTTTGCATCTGCTTTTTTAAAGAATTTTTCTCAACACAGGAAATATTGAATTCTATTTCTTTTATATATTCCAACGCAAATTTTAAAGCCTCTCACATGAGCTGTAGTGTAGTATTTTAAAATTTTATTTGGCTTTTTATTTCGTATATAAATTTTAATTTCGATATTCATTGTGGCTGGCATAATTGCGCGCTTGACTGTGACATTTTGTTAACTATCGCATTTTGTTAAACAATTTTGTTGCTGTTTCAGTTTTTTGTATTTTTTTTATTTGTATTTTTTTTTTTTTTTGCTTTTTTATGCGTTTTGGTTGAGCAGTTTTGTACGTAAGTGAAAAGCAATTCATTTTGCCAGCTATTGTTGCCGCCAACACAGAGAAAAGGCTATAGAAGCGTATATATAGATGCATATATACATACATATACATGCATACACATGCTATATGTTAAGTAACGTAGTTTGACATTTTGTCACACATTTATCACACATACGCCACATTGGCTGGGCTGGCTGGAATGCCTTGGGCGTGGGTGGCTTCGCAATTAACCTTGACTCTTGTCAGTCTGTCTATTGGCTACAAAATTTCGTTTATTGTGCTAACAATAACAGCTGTTAGCCAAAATTATTTTGCGCGCCAAAAAGTCTTTAAATACAAATGCCTAAAATTAAATGGCCCACTGGCACACACACACACTCACGCACGTACACACACACACACGCATACGTATGTATGTAATTATAATTGCGGTAATTACGCTTTCGTTTGGCGTAATTAATTACACCATTCTTTGGTGTAGCGCTGCCCCGGCCAGCGACATGTGCAGCAGCAGCAGCTCACACACACACACAAACACACACACACACTTGGGACCTGGTGTCAGTCTGACTAATGGCTTATGTGCTGGGTGGTCAAATATAAGTTAAGGCAATCGCCATCTCGCTCGCACGCAGCCATTTTGTCATTAAAGCGACAGCACGTGCTGCGGCGCCAATATTTTCGACACACACACACATACACACCAATACGCACACGTACTGTCAGGTAAGGGTAACGGTTTCCATATATGGGCGCTTAATAATAGTTGGCTGGATTCGTACACACACACACATACATACGTATACATATTTATATATATAGATTCGCATGTATTTTTCACAATTAGCTACGTCATGAGCTGCAAGTTGAGTGCTTTGAACTTTTGCTTTTTGTTTATGCGGTAATTGTTAATTAAAGTTAATTGCAAAGCCGTTTACAAGTTACTTAGCGTTCGATTTGGCAGCCCAAATAGCGACTCGCCGCTGCTCTGCTCTGCTCGCTCSTCGGTCTTTCTCTCTATTTGGAGTTGCTCTGTCATGCATTCCGAAGCGCAGCTCATGAATATTTATATAGACAGAGTTATGTCCGCAGTTCACAATCGCAGCGCTTTGCCATAATTCTTATGGCTTATTATAAATTCATCATTGCGGCCCATTTATGTCTGCAGCTCCCTCTTTTTCTGGCGCTCTCAAATATATATATATATATAGACTAATAACTGTTAAAGTTACAGCTACGATCCAAATTCAGCAGCTGCTGATTAGCTCAACAATCGCTCCAGTCTGAT